CGCCTCCCCCTTTTGCCCCCCCAGGAAAGGAACCCCCGGACCTCCCGTCGGGGCAGCGGGCGGCGCTACTAGAAATCGCAAATCGCCGTCTCCGTGTTCCCCCCCACCACCTTTTTTTCTTTTTTCCTCCTAAAACCACCGCTCCCTAATGGCCTGTCTCAAGCCCTCTTCAGGAGAGACTTTTTAATGTTTATTGCTTTTATATTTACTTTTTTTTTTCCACAGCCAAGTCCCTGCGTTTCTCCCTCTCTCCCCCGCGCTTCCTGCGCGCACTTGCTTGATCCCTCTCCGCGTCCCGTGGGGCTTTAACTCCTCGCCCACGTCGGGGGGACACACATGGGGAGCGCCCGGGCGTTTGGGGGGTTTCCCCTGGCCTGCGCCCCCGACGGCGCCGTTTCGGGGCGCGCTGCGCTCCGGCCGCGCTCTCCTCAAAACGGATGGAGCCCCCTCGGGCATCCCCCGGCCCTGCTCCCGCGCCCTCCCCGCCGCCGCTGCCCGGGGCATGTGCACAGCGCCAGCCGCGCCTTCCCGATGCCAAAATCCCGGGAAGTTGTTTCCTGCGAAATGCGCGTCCAGCGCATCGCACGCGCTCCATAAGACCGCCGCCAGAGCGCCGACGTTCCCCAAACGCAGCCCCTGCTTTTGTCTGCCTTTTTTTTTTTTTAAAAAAAAATGATAATAATATTATTATTTTGTTTATAGTTGACTTTAGTAGAAGAGTCAAAGCAAGCACTGTGGACAAGACCCACAATGTTAGGAAAACATATCTCCCTAACAGGGAGAAATGAGAAAAGTGACCGTAAGTCTGAAGCTTCAGTCTGTTGCAGGCCTTCTCACACCTAGAAGGTCCAAAGTGTAGAGGAGAATCATAGTAATTTCCAGGGAAAGAAGATCTAATTCTCCACAAAAGGACACTGCTGATTCTCTTTGTTCAAGTCACTCCAGGTACAGCTCCCAGATTTAAGGCTCCTGCTAAGATCCATTGTCACTTCCTTCCTGTCCCCAAGGTTCTCCCCCAGTGCATGCCTCTTACCCTAGAGGAAAAAAAAACAACAAAAAAACAAACAAACAAAAAAATCCAACACACACACCACAAGTTGAAAACTCAAGCAGTAGCAGCACCAAACTAGACTGAGGACTCTAGGGACAAATATAGGACTGACCTAAAGAAATAGCAGTCAGAAAGCTACCAGGTTACCAGGCCCACGAGACCCCCACTTCCACATTTTGCATGGGTCCAGTTCATATTTGGAGTATTCTTGATTTCTACTCATTCTCCCCTCACAGTGCATCTTGTTAAGCTTTACCTGGCGAGGTGCAAGAGCACTGGGGGAATTATCATCCTGCAGGATGCTGAGGGGCGAGCGTCCAGTTCCACCAGATGTTACCATGATTTTGCTGCTGGTCTTGCGCCTTATTGGTTTGCTTCCTAGTGAGTGAAGAACAAGTCAGTAAGTCACCGCAAGCCTAGAGGACATGAAGTTTTTCCTGACTTCATGATCTAGTCTACCTGCCTGCACAGAAGAGCATCAGCCACCCCGAGGAGGAGGGCGACCTGGCCGACATCAAGTCCTCCCTCGTCAACGAGTCCGAGATCGCGCCCAGCGCCGGCGGACACGAGGTGCGGGCTTGGGCCGGGGGGGTCCGGAGAGGGTTTGGGGCACCGTCCTCTCCCTTGCCTCGAGAAACGCACCCCGAACCCGCCCGACGTCCCCCAACATGGCCCTTCTTCGTGAGGGGAGAAAGTTGCCGCGCGTCCCCGGCGGGGCAGGAGCGCCCTGAGGCGCCCCCCGCACCGGAGGCTTCAGAGGGAACCTCGAGGCGGGAGGGTTGCCCCAAACCGCCCGGTTATTGCCCAGAACTGCGCTCAGAGCAACTTCGGGGCGAGCCGCCGCGCTCTCACCTCATCCGCTCTTCATTTGTTTTATTTCTGTTTTATTCCCCCCCTAGACCTCATGCTGCGGGCAGCCTGGCTTGCAATATTGGCCGCAGTGTTGCGTTAGCAATCAGAGTTTCTGAAAGCCGAAGCTCGAAATATCTTCTTTTTCCCCTCTGAATCAAGCCCCTCTCGTGCAGCGCTTCTGCTAGGAAAGCTTTGGAAAGCCGCCTAGTTATCGGCGCCGGAATGAGGCGAGCACTTGTGCCGGCGTCTCTCCTACAGTTGCCTTCAAAATGACTTAAGAGGAAAAGCAAAGATGCTTATCGTTGTCGTAACTTTTCTCCCCTTCTCTGTCCTTTTCAGGAAGAGCTAGTGCTGTTAACAGCAAACGAACATCCATAAAATGACTCCCTGCTTTTTTGTTTTAATGTATTTATTTTTATGTATGTATTTATTTATTTATTTTTCCTGCTTGCTTCTTAATGATGGCTTCTCTGTGGTTAGGTTTCCAGGCAAACCCAGGCGCCAGACTCCTACCATGATAAAGGCAGAGAGCATCCCGAGGAAGGTGAGAGCCCGCACCGTATGCAGCAGGATGCGGATCCCTGTGGAAAACACAAATCCCATCTCTTTTTCGGGAGCTCGAGGGGGGTGGTGGTGGAGCTGTGCCGCGCTCTCAGAGCTTGCTCTGAAAGGCGACGAGCTGCAGCGCGTTTATCTTGGGTGACCAAATGGCATTTCGGTTGTTTAGAAACTGATAAGTAGGCCAAATGGATCATTTGCGGAAGAAATAACTAATTTTAGGATATCAGCTCAAGCACATCTATCTCCTCACTCATGCAGCACAGCTGAGTTGTGGCATTCAGAAGCTGTATGACGCCTTTTTCTTTCTTAATCAAAGTTAGGATTTCTAACTGCATCGTATCGCAAATCCCATATAAAGACAGATCCTTGCCAGGGCTCTCTGGTGATTGTACTCCAAATTAGCCACTAATCAGCTGAAAAGCAGCAGTGTTTGGGTGTTTTGGCAGGTAGTGGGGTGGAGAAGGTGTCTCTCCATCCTTGCACCCCTCAGAGGCTGGAGCTGTGAGTGACTGGTAGCTCATAGGGATGGTTGACGCTTCACCCCCCTCCCTGCCTTTCTCCGTGCAGAAAGTGGGGCCAAATTCCTTGTTTTCCACCCAAAGCAGCGCTCCTCACGTGGCTCCCCTCTGCACTCAGGTGCCACATGTGCTCAGCAGCCTCCTCCTGCCCCAAATCACGAGGGTATCGCTGCAAGCAGCCCCTGCCCGCTCGTCCTTGTCAGGGAGCGTGGCCAGAGCGGGTCCTTGGTGGCACACACTGCTCCTGCCACTTACCATTGCCCTGTCCTGCCTTTCCTCACAGCAGTGCCGCAGATCCATCCTAGTGGTGCGCCTGCATCTATAAATCCAGGAGGAATATATGTAAAATGGGGGAAAGCAGCTCCCTGAGAAGCGTGGTGTCGCTACTGGAGGGGCTGCCCACTTGAATGGCAGCTAGCAAAGTAAAAGGATTGCAAAATATTTTTTTTTCCCCTCACACTTTTTAAGTGTGAATTCCTCACTAAGCATGCTTGCTCCTTTAAGAATTAAGTCTTCTTTAAACTAAAAAAAAATGAAAAAAGTTATGTGTTGTTGCACAGGCCACTTTCTGTCAGAAGCAGTTGCCCTGTACAGGGTGACGTTTGCATGCAGCGCATCCCCAGGAATACCCAGGCCCATCAAAGTGGCTTGCAAAAATCACATTTTGCAGGGAATAATGTGACCATTGTTTCCTCTTCCCTAGGAAAGCATCCGGACAGTGGCTTATACGGCAAGGGACCATCATACTCTGGTTATTCTGGGTATATCATGATGCCAAATATGAACACCGACCCCTACATGCCGAACGGATCCCTGTCGCCGCCCATCCCCAGGACAGTGAGTTGCCTGCGCCTTCCTCTGCGCGATTGTGCTTTATTATTATTATTTATCTTTTTTAGACAGCTTCTCGGTCTTCAGAGGCTCTATCCCACGGCATTTCAGGGCTCCCTCTCGGAGGTGTTGGTTGTGCTACTGGTGGAAAAGCACCTCTGAGAAGGGCTGGAGGGAAAGCCCTGGTTGATGCCGAGGGATAACGTGAGGTGGGAAGATGTAGATGCCCGTTGCAGGGACTAGGCCACATGTGAGGTTTTTGGGGAGCTTTAACTCCTCTGTTTGCGGAGGGAAAAGAGAGGTCTAGAAGGAGAGCTGTTGAAGTTGCTGCTTAGCAAGCTGGAAAGATTCGGTGTTTTCTCTCTTGCCTTCAGATGTGGCACTGCTCTTTGCTGCTCGCTCCTGCGGCCGACCGAGCGGCTCCGCGTGCCCCGCGCCGCCGCGTCTGCCCGTGCTGCTGCACAGGCATCTCGGCCGGGTCTTGGTGTGTTCTGGGGTTTGGAGGGTCAATCCCGCTTTGTGTCTTTGCTGGCATACGGATAGGGTGGTGGGGAGGCACCACTGAAATTAGCCATGGAAATTGCTTTAGTAGGACTGGAGTGGAGTGGGAAGCAAATTTGCTTGTAGGTGTCTTCTGGCAAGACAGTATCTGCCATTGCCTATGCTGGGATATCAGGAGTTGTATGCAGGTATTTCCTAGTGATAAGCAGCTTTCCCTCTTCCTGGCTCTCAGCTTTTTTTATCCATCAGCCTGTCTTTATTTTGTTCTGCTGTGTCCTTGGTTTTCCTACCAGGCTGTGGCTTTTGGCTTCAGAAACAAAAAGACAGGGCCTAATTTGTGTTGGTGATTTAATAACAGCAAAGCAGGTTAAAATACTGGATGTTGGGATTCAGAGTGATGCTACAGTCTGTTTTTCCTAGTCTGTTTTTCCTGTCTTTTTTTGTTTGTTTGTTAACATGTCATTGCTTGCATTTCCAAGCATCAAAACCTTGTGCAGGGGGCTGCTTTCTGTGCTTCTCTTCTTAAAGGAGACCTTGTTTGTACGTGAACAGCAGTGCAGAGGCCTGCGCTGGTTCGATGCAAAATAGCGCGTGTGAGAGTGCATGCAGGGGCAACGACCCCTCTTCCAAAAACTTTGGAGTGAGGAAAAGAACACGGCTGCTTCAGCAGCGCCGAGGCTCCAGTCTGCCCATTTGCAGACTGAGAAACTTCATAACACCTTTTTTTGTTTGTTTTACCCCTGCTGTTCCCCCATTAGCCCCCGATAAGGTGTCTCGAGCTGGGCTTCTCGGTGCGGGGCCGGGCTCACTCAGCGCTTTGCCCATCCCGCGGGATGCTCCGGCGCCTCCGCGGAGCTCTGCCCCCGCAAGCAGGAAGCCGCGGCGGGGCCGGGGTCCCGTCTGGAGCCCTCTCTGGGCACCCGCAGGGCTACGTGCCCAAATTATTTAGTACTTTATTTTCCCTTTCTTTCCTCAGTCGCGTGCTGTGATGTCTGCTGGGCTCGTAGCTGCCAGCCGTGCTACTTCTTCCTCCTTCTCCTCCTCCTCCTTCTCCTCCTCCTTCTCTTCCTTCTCTTCCATCCCATGGGACGGGCGCTGGGGTCTGGAGGGAGGAGTGGCTGCCCCTGTACCTGCACCATTTGCAGCACAAAGCCACGCTGCTGCCTCTCGCCTTGAGGGCTGCATTAATGCACTGCCCCGGGCACCCAGGCCTTTGCTTTCCTTTCTTTTTTCTCTTTTTTCTGCTTTTTTTTTCCCTTCTCCCTTTCTCCCTCCTTTGCAAACCGTGTAAAGGATGTGGGTAGGTGCAGGCAACCCCACGCCTGGTAAAATGCAGCGAGACGGAGAAATGGACCATTCCTGACAGACACAACTATGCCTGGCTATATATATGTGTGTATGCATATACATATATATATATAAGTATATGAATGCATGTATACATATATATTGCAAAGATAAAGCTCTGCGTTTTGTTTCTGGAGCAAGCACATGGGGTGCGATGCTGTGGCTCTCGCCTCGCCTCGTGCCACGTGCAGGCAAGTCCTCAGCTGGGGCAGGATGGGGGCAGCCAGGGCCCCCTCCAGCGTCACACGTGTAGCCAGAGCTCGCCCAGCGCAGCCTGAAATCCGGGGAATTCACAGGCCAGCCTGTGCTGATTCGGTGGGCAGAGGGACCGGGTTATATATATCATATATACCTATAATATTTGTGTGAGTGTTTTTTCGCTTTGTTTTGTTTTTGCTAGTCAAAGCTGCTCTATGCAGTCCAACAACACACATATACATGAAACATCTTTTTTTTTGGTCTTTTTTTTGTTTGCTTGTTTGTTTGTTTTAAGGGCCAAATGCTTTAAGTTCTTGTTCTGTAAAATAAATGAAAAAGAAATGTACATCTGTAGTCATCGGGCATTATATCTAATAAACCCTGAAAGAAGAAAACCCAGGTGTAATTGTGGGGCAGCTGTTTTCCCCACAGCTGCTGTTGCTGCAGTGGTCTCATCCTGCTTCCTGTCTTTCTTTTTCCCCTTGGATTTTACTGGTACCTGGTTTGTCTTTTGCAAGTTGCCTTTGTAGGAGTGGGACGGTGTCGCTTGCAGGTTGGGAGCCTTGTGGAGCAGTCTGTGTGTTTCTCAGCTGGCTGCGAGGCGGCTGGTGCAGGTAGCTGCAGGAGCAGAGCCAGGCGATAAAACCCAAACCGCGGGAGCACCTGGCGAGCGAGCGGCCTGCGCTCCGGATACCCCTCCGTGGTTTCTCAGCACCACACGGGGGCTGAGGAGGGGGGCAGCAGGCAGCTGTTTGTTTTCTAACAAACACGTATGGGGTTTTCTTACTTAAAAAAAAAAAAGATTAAGTTTCCTATTCTAAACTTTCTCATCTGTGCGGTGGGAACGTGGGGACCGGAGAGGAGACTGACGAATTGTTTCTGTCTCTCAAATTCATCTGGAAAATTGTTTTGTCTCCGCTCCTTGCTCCTCCCAGTGGATGAGACCTTCTGTTGTAAGCCGTGGGATTTCTGGAACCCCCCTCTTGACCGCTCTTGTCTGCTCAGGGAGTCTGAGGTTTTGTCTTAGTGGTTAAACTGTTTGTTAGCCGCTGGAGTCGGTGTTAAGTAGTTTGGAGGATACAACCCTAGAAACACCTCAGAGGGACTTCTGAAATGCAGTGTATCCACTTGGAAGTGCTGAGGGGCGCTGCCACAGAAATCTGAACACAAGGAAAAAAATGGTAGCAAGCAAAGTGCCTCCCCAGTTTTACCTGTGAACTTGCCTGCCTCTGCATGGCCATCATTAGGGATGCAGTTCTGTCTCGAGAGGCGAGGACCCCAGGAGCAGTCGCATGGGTAAGATGAAAGGGAGGAAGGACGAGGGCAGAAACAGCAAGCGTGCGTGGACGCGGCATCCAAGCAGGGGCAGGCAGGATGTTTCCCTGGCTGCATCTTGCCACCTCTTTGCAGAAAGGCTGGCTGACTTGACTTGCTTGCAGGAGGTTTTTTGGGAGCCAGAGAGGAGTCAAGTAAGAACATCAGTGCCCGGAGTCCTGCTTCTGCTCCCCATCGTGCATTGGGACCCTTGGCACTAGTTTCTCTCTTGCCTTAAAGTGGGGAAGCCCAAGGGTTGTAGACAGCTCTGTCCCACCAGCGCAAGCAAATGGTATTCGCCAGATCTTCTCCGGATCAGGTCTTCTCCTGCCCTTCTCCCAGAGTTCTCCCGCGGTTCGGCGTGGAGGTGGGGATGATGCTGCACATTGCAGCTTAGCTGCAGAGTGGCCAGAAACCCCTCCCATGGTGAAGAGCAGCTTGTTACAGGCTCCGCTTGCTGCGGAAGACTTGGCCCTGGAAGAAAACCCCAAGCAGGCTGGGGCATCCAACGAGGAAAAGGCTTTTCCCAGCTCCGCGCCACATGGCTGGGAGGACTGGAGAGCCACCGGCCCGGCTCTTCTCCGGTGCTGTTTATCGCTGGGAATATCCCTTGGTATGCGAAGGAAATAACCCACACCAAAAGCATTTTGCTGCTACTGTAATATTTCTGAAGTCCTACTAGAGGCATGTACTCTTCTTCAGTTAATTATTGAAGGTAAATACTCCTCTGGCTTATGAATAGACACGTGTGCACGTATGCTTTAGATGCTTTAATACACCTATGCATTTGCAGCCTGTGTCCAGGCCACCCATCGCTGCTGCTCTGCTGGTGACTGGTCCCCTTGCAAGCTCTGCTTTCCTCCGGCAAGGACAGACCCCGCCATGCAACACGTCCCTGTGGCTGGTGGGAGCAAAACACGTCCCATGGCCCCTTGGCATTTCAGCGTACAGCCCCATCAGCTTACAGCTTGGCTGTCCTTGGAGCGTGTGTAGTGTGATGCTGGTGGTGCTGGTCCTGCCCGCAGACATGATCCCTCCTTGAGGGACCCAGTCCTCACGGCAGGCAAGGGATGGAGCGCTTGAGTAAGAGTGTGTGCGCTGCCTCTCCGGGGGTTGCACTGGAAGTGCAGGGGGAGCTAATGTGCCCTTAGGACCATCCGCTTCTGCATGGCATGAGCCGTGTCCCCCGCGTCCTCTGCACGAGAGCCTGTGCGATACCTCGTGTTGAGGTGAAACGTCTTGAGTGTCTTCACCTGGCATCTTCAAAGCTGTTAAATCCCTCCTTTTTTTGGTATTCTCATGACGCTGAGAGGGCAGTTCGACATTGCTGTATTTCCTCCAAGTGGCCACGAACACAGGCAGCGTTGGGGCATGAAATCATTAGGACAGGCTTAGTCGTCAAAAACCGCAAGTGTGAAGTTGTGAGGCTTCGATCAAATACTCAGAAAAGGGATGGTCTAACTTAGAAAGTGAGTGTGCCATTGACACCAGCTTTGGCACCAAAGCTTCAAATAGAGAGTTTGTTTGGGCTGGTATTTGTCTGGCAAGCTGGAGAGCGTCTTCTTCCCAAGGCGTCTGTCCATGTGAGGGCCCTCCCTAGCCCAGCTCTTCCCCAGCAGCCGGTTTGGGCTCTGTGCTTCCAAAGT